CGTCAAAAATTGCTCGAGCCAAATCTGGTGCGCTTCCCCAGAAACTCCAGCAACTTCCGCAATACAACGCCGCGCGTCGGCAACACAGTGCGGCCGCGGCCGTCAGAAAACCTCCCAAGAAACCTTGCCCTGGAGACCAGCGCGAGAGGTGCGACTGTCGCGGGATGTCGCCGCGCAGCGCGCGGGGCGAAGAACCCCAGGGTACCCTGACGATAGGTAGGCGGTTTCTTGACGCGCGCCCCCACCGTACCAAGCAGGCGACGAGCGATTCGCCGAACTGTCCGCGTCAGAGTCCCCCATGGACGACGCCACGGCCACCACGAGAGGCTGCTGCTCGGGGCGCCCCGCGGAGAGCGACGAGGCACGACGAGGCGCAGCTCCCGCGGTCGAGACAGTCAGGAGGCAACTCCTGGGCCACCGAACCACATCGGGACGCATGAAGAAGAAGACGCCGTGTGCCCACCAGAAGGCACGTGAGCAACAGCATGGCCGTGTGGCCAGAAGAATATGATGGGACGTCCAAGCGGGGCCGTGTGCCCAGAAGGCCGGATCAAGCCCAGGATTAGGCCGGAGGATTGTGCAGGAGATGCATCCTAGACCTGTCTAGGAGGCAACTCATGGATCTCTCTCGCAGCTTTTTCGCAGTCGGGGCATTGAGAAGGCAACTCCTGCGAGATCTCCGTCAGAACGATTTCCAAGGGCCATGAAGCCCGAGTAAGGGCCGTTGAGCCAGGCTAAGCTGGGTTTGAGCAGGAGCTGCAGCCTAGAAACATGCACGCAGACGCTATGACTTGGAGGAAGAAGTCGAGTGTCGATACGACGAAGGCAACGTGAGAACAAACTTCGGATGAAGATCGATCGGAAGTCTCTGAAACCAGGCGAGTCTGGAGGACGAGAGTGGCTGGTCCGGAGCGTTGCAGAACGCTCTGAGTGCGCTCCGAAACGCTCTGGAGCCCCGCCCGAGTCGAGGCGGGGGTATGGTTGACACATAAGTCTTTGGGCACAACAGTGTGTGGTAATCCTGTCTTTCGGCGCCCCTGGCGAACCAGACGACGTCACTGGGCAGTGCAACATAGAACACGATGAGTTTCACGGCGACCGTCTGAGAGCACCCATGCAAACACGTACAATGGCTCAAGATGAGGACGACAAAGCGGAGAAGGTCGTGATGGTGACGAGCATGCGAGTGGTGTGTGCATGGCGCGGCGAATGAGCACGCGCATGCACACGTGTACCACTGGGAGAGCTAAGTCTATACTCGGGGAGACGTGAGACTTGGGTACGGGGGGCTCGGGTTGGCCTGACGGGGGCCATCATAAACATGACGAGACCCAATCTGAAATTTGACGCGTGTTCCCGCTGCAGACATCCCACGAACATGGGACCGTCAAAATCCAGGACGCGCTCGTCAAAAAGAAGTCGGCAATCCCGAGTTCTGGCTTACTCGAGTCTCACGTTTCCCCGATATACACACGAATTCGGGCAGCAACAACTCCTGCAATAACTCGCGCTCGCCCTGTGTCCTGGCCGCGAGCTGAGGACACACCGAGGAGGCGGGGAGCTGGGCGTCTCATCCTCCCTGCCACCGTGCATAGCGCGCCACCCCTGGGCAGGATCTAGCAGCCCTTCTGGCAAGTGTCCAGCCATGAGCACAAGTATCTCGCGAGATCAGACGCTCACTGCTGACTTCAACGCGCATCCATGTCCATCATAAGCTCGACAGGGGTAGCCCTGTCATCCCAGAGTTTCCAAGAGAACATATTTCCACTCCTGGCCATCTGATGGTTTTGGTCGCAACGTCATCACACACAACTCGTTGAATCCTCTCGAGACCAAGGTCGCGAAACCGGTACGCTGCAATCTGATTTTCCCACCGCATTAACCACGAAATACTGCAGCCAAAGGGGCCAGCAAAATGCCCCAGGCGAACCAGGACATACGCGAAGGCCAACCTGCCATCGGCGAACCAACGCGCGAATAGCGGGTCCAACTCAACGAGCGTTGCTCTGCGCACGTGGCCGAAACACGGGCCCAACACTACGGTGTCAGAACTCCGTGAGTCACCACGCAAGCTTGCACGCAAACTACCGCTCCAGGCTGGCGCAAAGGGCCTGCTGGAGACCTGCACCCAGACTGACACAATCGCAGTACAGTTGATGCGCTGCCAAAGGAACGCTAAATAAGGAACGAGGAGGCTTCTCTTGCCACGACGAGCCTCGGTCACGAACAGGCTCGCCGACCCAAATCTAAAGAAGGGGCCAGGCAGCAGAAGCCCCCCCTGAACCCAGAATGGCCCTTACTTTGGCGCCCCCGCGCAATGACCCTGTACGGTCCTCGGCGCAATACCGAACACGGAAGGGAACTCGCGCACCAACTTGGACGACCGAAATGGGTAGTACGGAAAAAAGTGATGCCCAACAACAGGTGTTGTCCAACAACGATAGCGGTCGTTGTTGAGCAGGCAGCAGTCTGCTTCAAATGGGCAACATCCGCGACGGCGAGGACAGCGAGTCCTGCTCAAAATGAACCAGGATTACGTTGGGCATCTCGGCATGGGGGAAAAGCGGGTCCTGAGGGAAACCGGTCCTGCACCCCGGGGACCTTCGCCAAGAAAGAGATCGCCATCCTGAGTCGCTTTCTGACGCTCCCGGGGCCGTGGAGGGCCCCCAGAGCCCGAGAAGCCTCAGGACCCAATCCCCTCGGGACCCGCCTCCCCCCATGGCGAGCATCGTGCCCACTCTCTCCGTACCCGTCTCGCTCGTGCCCAGGGAGGGCTCGGGCCGCTCGTGGGGAAGCCGCAGGCCGGCACCCGCGGGCGGCGGGTGCGCTCTGCGCCAGCGGATGCCGGGCAGGGGCGCCGCCACGCACGGGAGCCCCAGCCGACCCCACAAGAACGGGCGGGGGCCGAGCGCGGGGAAGGCGCCCCAAAGCAACTCCTCCTCCTCCTCCTCCTCCTCCTCCTCCTCCTCCTCCTCCTCGCCCCTCCTCCTCCTCCTCCTCCTCCTCCTCCTCCTCCTCCTCCTCCTCCTCCTCCTCCTCCTCCCAGGACTCCGCGGGCCACACAGCGCACCAAGAGGGTGCGGCCTCACCACCGAGGCCCCTCCAGACGACGGTGGGCGGTGAGGCGTCAGCCTGGAGCCAAAACCCATCGCACGGAGGGGGGGAGGGCCCAGGAGAAGCCAGTGAGGACGACGACGATGGAAGAAGAGAAAACGCCACAGCCATAGACATACTCTGTTGGCGCTCCGCGCGGATTTCTTGGGCCTTCGCTGGACCCCACTCTCTGGCGCTGGGAGCGCGCCAGGAGCGGCGCCGGAGGCGCCGCCGGGGGGGGGGGGGGGGCGGATCCAAGAAATCCGCGCGGAGCGCCAAAAGTTTGTGTTCCTGGCGATCTGTCGTCTTCGAGACGCGGACGACGAGGACGAGGAAGAGGCAAGCGGGCGAGGGCGGCGACGAGGAGGGGGGCCCCGAAGCGGGCGGCGAGGCGTGGTCCTCGAGAGGCGCGCGGGGCGCAGAGCTCCCTCGGCGGTCGAGGCGGCGGCGGGCGAGGACGGGGCACCCACGGCAGGGGGTCGCGCGGGGAGGCGCCAGCGTGGGCTGCAGTGGGCCCTGGCGGCATGGCGCAGCTCATGTGGTTCCCATCGCACTTCAGGACCACATCCCAAAAATAATTCGGGCCCCCAGAGGAGTATCGAAGCAGCGTCGAACGAGTATCGCCTCCCAGGGCCTGGCACGTGAAAGCCCCCAAGTTTCGGTACTTTCGTGGTGCTCGGAATTCTTTCTGGCTATCAAAGCTAAAGTAGGTTGGAACATCATAAGGCTTGGCTGATCCATATCCCCACGGGTGTGGCCTGGACCCCACTGGCCGATCGACCCGCCGGACGGCGACTCGGGCTGTTCCCCTGGGGTCTCAGAGGGTCGATCCTCAACTCAGAAGGGCGAAAAACGCTATAAACATAAACTTTGGGCGCTCCGCGCGGCTTTCTGGATCTGAGCAAGGCCCCCTCCCTGGCGCGCGGAGAGCGCCAGGGGCGGCGCCGGAGGCGCCGCCAGGGGGGCCCAGCGCGGATCCAAGAACTCTGCGCGGAGCGCCAAAAGTGAATGTTCATGCCGCTTGTCTTCTTCGACAACTGGGGTGTTGAGATGGTGGGGCTCGGGATGGGGGTGGGGATGGGGACAAGTCGGGCGTTGGCAGAACTGGGTTTAGTGGGACCTGGTTTAATGATGTGTACTAGGGGACGCCCCCCCCGCCCCGTCCACTAACCAGAACTGCCGTCACCCGAAAAAACACCAGCTACGGCAGACCTGGTTGAGTGATTCTGGCCAATTCAGGGGCTCCAGGGCCCTACCACTGACTGGGTCCCTCACCTGGGGTCCTGGCTGTACCCGAACAGGGATCGGTGAAACGATGCCGCTTCCGATCCGTGGATCTCGCATGCGGGCGCTGGCGAGGCCAGTGCCGCGCGGCTCGATCGGCGGAGGGCTGGGCCCGTCGCGGATCCACGCGCCTCTCAGGCCATGCTCGCGTTGCCTCGGCTGTGCTGCTGCCTTGCAGCCGCTGCCATGCGGGACCCCCTCGCACAGACCGCCGTGGCATGTCTGCTTCGCGCTCCCTGTCAAACTGGAGCCCGAGGGCACTGAGCGCAACGTACGTACTTGATGCAGGGGGCTGTTAGGAGAGGTGTGCTCGAGAAGACGCTGATGCAGGGGGCCGCTAGTCTTTGCTTCTTGAAGCGAGGGGGGCAGTACAAGAAGGGCGACTGCCAGCGGCAAGCCGCTGATTCGAAAAAAGCTCCTACCCGACCCCCCCAACGGAGGAAAAAAACGCACACGGGGCGGAGGCAGGAGGAGAGACTCGGAGGAACACGAGACGAAGGCGGTGGGGAGAAAATCTGCTTCGCGCCGCATCGCCAATGCACTGGCGATGCAATGCACTGGCGATGCGGCGCGATCCGGGGGCCCCCACCAACTCCCGCCCAACTGATAAGTCATTGGAGAATCTCGCCTTTATCCGCCGTGAGGCCCGTGAGGCACGCAACTGTTCGCCGTCGTGCCAGCCGGGGTACATGCACAGGACTGCTGTCCTGCCTGGGAGAGGAGAACTGCTGCTCAGCTGCACACTCGGCCTGGACCGAGCAGACGGCTGACTCGGCTTGCGAGCGAGCAGCCACAAAAACAAAGGCTCCTGATTGGGTGAGCGTTCCCCTCTCCTCCTCCTCCTCCTCCTCCTCCTCCTCCTCCTCCTTCCTCCTCCTCCTCCTTCCTCCTTCCTCCTTCCTCCTTCCTCCTTCCTCCTTCCTCCTTCCTCCTTCCTCCTTCCTCCTTCCTCCTTCCTCCTCCTCCTCCTCCTCCTCCTCCTCCTCCTCCTCTCCTCCGTCGATGCGCTCCTCACTCGTCGACCCGTATCTTCATCCTCCTCCGTCTCATGCCTTCTCCTCTGCCCTGATAAGCCATGCAACGCAGTACGGATTCAGAGTGGGAGAAAAGTTTGCGCAGCAGTCCAGATTACGAGCGCAGTCGGGGAACGCATGATAGCAAGCAGCTGAGGTACACACACTCAGAGCCGCACGTACGCACACTGTTCCTCCGACGTGCCGATGACGCAAATCAGCGACTGGCAACAATGGAGCCGGCGCACGTCCTCCGCGCATGCTCCCACCGCCCATCTTGGCACTACCTCCTGCTTCCCGTTCCCTCCCGTCCAGCAGCTGGCGCAGGTCGACACGAAACAGACACGAGCAATCGAAATAACCCAGCGGGTTGATAAGACGAGGCTGGGACTGGGACAATCGGCGGCCAGCTCGAGGGGAAGTGAGAGGGGGCGGGTCTTCTCAGAAGGCTCGGATATCCTCTGGCCTTCTGAGAACTGCTCGAAGCCTTCCTCGAAGACACCGAAAACGTCTCAGAAGGCCGGAGGTGAGAGGCCCCGCCACCATTTGAGAAGGCCTTGTCCTTCTCACCTTCCTCCGCTGGCGCGCCGCCGAATCAAAATCGGATTGGGATAAATCGGGGATCTCCGAGCATTCGAAGATTCTGGAGATTCGGCGGCTCCGCAGCGCTCTGAGAGCGTTCCAGAACGCTCTGGAACGATAGATCCATCTCCTAGCCCCGCCCGACATTCCCTCCCTTCCGGCAGCCAGCGCAGGTCAGCCAGAAACAGACACCGTTGATCGAAGTGGCCCAGTGGGTTAGGCAGGCCGTAGCAAGTTCTGAGCCGGTTGAGCAGACCCAATGAGTTAAGCAAACACTCGCTGGACTGGGTTGCGGACAAGTCGGATTACAATGGAAGCCAGCCAACGCAGCCGAGAAAGCCGAGCACGACAAACCACATGAACACGCCGAGCAAAGCATTCGGAGCATCTGTGCGATTACGATAATCGCACATGCTTGATTCAAAGCTACGCGGCGAAAGGCTCCCATGCGAAACATGCGTTACGTCGACCGATGCGCATACATGGTGATCCAGATTAGCACACGACCACGCGCAGCCCCATACCTTCCAAGCTGAAGGCATACACAGGGAAGCAAATCCTAGCGAAGGTGAACAAGCAGAGGCCCTGAAGTACGTGGCTGCAATATCTGGCTGTGCGTGTTTGATGAGATACGCGTTGCTGCACGACGCATTGTGAATTGCTTTGCCTGTTCACGTGGCATCCGCTTGTGCGCTAACCGAGGTTGCGTAACGTTGCTGCGTTTGGTGAAGCTGAACTATGCGACACGGTACGATTCTCCACACAGCGGTTGCACATACAAGACTGCGTTGTGAGGATAAGACCCTGCTCGCCAGAGTCCCAGCCGTTGCCACCAGCAGGTCCCGCACAAATGGAACTCCGTAGACATGGGTGTGCGGGCGGTTTGCCGGGATCTGGCCGTCGCCGCTTTCTGAAGGTCCACACACATTGGTTTCCGTGCACACCCGCATACTCACACACTTCCCCCCCCCCGCCGCGCTGAGGAGACCAGTCCGCGGACAAACAAAGGGGGGACGCCCTCAGAACTAACTCACCTCCTTGTGCAGCTCCCCCGACACAAACGCACATAAGAAACGAAACACAAACAAGCCTTACGCATTATGGCACAGCGACCTTACGCGGTGACTTACGCGGGCCGCCAGCGCGGCACGCTACATTGGAGGCAAGGGCGCTTACGCACGGCCTTACGCGGGCTGTTTACGCGCCAATGTCGGAGCAGTCGTTCCCGTTGTTGTGTGCCGCACACCCCCCTCATTGGCGCGTCCCCAGGGGGCTCCAGCTCCGATCAAACAAATCCGTGCGGAAAACCGAAAGTGCATGTTTTTCCAAATCATCCTGTGGTGCTGGGTCCTCTTTTGAAGAGACAGCGCCCCGCGTCTCCTCTGCTCTCCTCTCCTCATCCTCCCCCTCCTCCCTCCTCCCATCGATGGCATCATCATCATCATCATCATCATCATCATCATCATCATCATCATCATCATCATCATCATCATCATCACCATCATCAGCATCAGCATCAGCATCATCATCACCATCATCATCATCAGCATCATCAGCATCATCAGCATCATCATCATCGTCACCATCAGTATCATCCCACCCATTTCGGCACACTCCTCACATGGTTCGTGACCCCACAGGGAGCTCCACCGAGAGCTCCAGTGGCAAGGTCAAAAAGCGTCAACGCCACCCAGGTCACCGTTTCGTAGGCCCATAGGGAGCTTCACCCGAGGCTCCGCTCCGGTGGCAGGGCCCGCATTCGCCAACGCCACCCAGGACAGCGTTTCGTGGCCCCATGGGGAGCTCCACCGAAGGCTCCAGTGGCAGGGTCCGCATGCGTCAACGCCACGCAGGACAGCGTTTCGTGGCCCCATAGAGAGCTCCGCCGAAGGCTCCAGTGGCAGGGTCCGCATGCGTCAACGCCACCCCAGCGTTTCGTAGGCCCAGGACATCGTTTCATTACCCCAGAGGGAGCTCCACCGAAGGCTCCAGTGGCAGGGCCCGCGTGCGTCAACGCCACCCATGACAGCACTTCGTGGCCCCATAGGGAGCTCCACCGAAGGCTCCAGTGGCAGGGCCCGCATGCGTACACACCACCCGGGACAGCGCTTCGTGGGCCCGAAGGCTCCAGTGGCAGGGTCCGCATGCGTAAACGCCACCCAGGACAGCGCTTCGTGGCCCCATAGGGAGCTCTACCGAAGCTTCCAGTGGAAGGGTCCGCATGCGTCAACGCCACCCATGTAGGGACACCCCTCACACGGTTCGTGGCTCCATAGGGAGCTCCACCGAAGGCCCCAGTGGCACCGTTCCGTATGCGTCTCCCCCACCCAGGGCAACGTTTCGTGGCCCCATAAAAAACTCCACTGGAGACCCCAGTGGAACCGTTCGCATGTGTCTCCCCCACCTAGGACAGCGCTTCGTGACCCCACAGGGAGCCCCACCGAAGGCCCCAGTGGCACCGTTCCGCATGCGTCTCCCCCGCCCAGGACAACGCTTCGTGGCCCCATAGGGAGCTCCACGGAAAGTCCCAGTGGCGCCGTTCGCATGGTCAACGCCACCCAGGACAGCGTTTCGTGGCCCCATAAGGAGCTCCACCCAAGGCGACAGTGGCGCGGTTCGCATGCGTCTCCCCCACCCATGACAGCGCTTCGTGGCCCCATAAGGAGCTCCAACGAAGGTCCCAATGGCGTAGTTCGCATGCGTCTCCCTCACCCAGGACAACATATCGTGGCCCCGTAGGGAGCTCCACCGAAGCCCCCAGTAGCGGTGTCCACATGCGTCCGCGCCACCGTTGTCGGCGCACCCCTCGCACGTTTCGTGGCCCCATAGGGAGCTCCACCGAAAGCGGTACTCACAATGCGGCCCTCGCAGCTGCATATGGTTGGGCCCTTCGTCAGGCTAATGTTATGCCGTATTGCTTTCTTCTACGAAAGGGCCCACGCAATACTGGACACGCACGCACAGAACACACACACACACACACACGCACACACACACACACACACGCACACGCACGCACGCACGCACGCACGCACGCACGCACGCACGCACGCACACACACACACACACACACACATGGGGCTCCATACGTAGGAGGGTCCACGACCATGGGGCTACTGTCTGCCTATTGTCCGGGGTCCAGGCCCCGGCCTTCGTCTGCAACGTTCGGGGTGGCAGAAGTGGTCATGCCGCATACCGCATACCTCGTAAGATCGCAACTTCCAGGTGTACTGGACGAGCTCGCCATGGCGTGAAGGTTGCACAGTCCTCCATATTTTCAGATCTTGGTGTTGCCCTTTTGGCATCTCGGAAATTCTCGCACGAGGAAATGAACCATGTCCCGCACCTCCCAGAAAACAAATCCGAAAATATGCGACTGCTTTTCAGGATAGACGAAGCTCCGCGGCGTCTGAAGATATGAAACCCTGCTTGTTCACACGCGCCTCCTCGCAGAAAGAAGAATCCGCCCAAAATCCGTCCCCAACCCCCTCCTGGGCACTACCCTTACGAATTACACAACCGCAACTGGCACTGACGCCCAACGCGGCACCAAGACGATCTCCCCCTACATAGTTATTGAGAAGCAGAAATAAAGGGCAAGCAGGATGCCCTGACATGCCATCCTGCTATCGGACGCTGCCTCGTGCATGGATATTACGACGCGGCGTGCAACCAATAGGCCCGCCAAAGCACAGCGAGGGGGACGGGAAAACTTTCGCCTCTTTCAGAAGCGCTCAGTCGTCCTTGCTGAGCTCGACCATGAGAACAAACTGGTTCTGTATTCCGGCCTCTGTGCGACCCCTCTTCCTGCTCCTCCTCCTCCCCCTCCTCCTCCTCCAGCTCCTCCTCCTTATCCTCAACCTCCTCCTCCTCCTCCTCCTCTTCCTCCTCCTTCTCCTCCGCCGCTCCCCCTCCCTCCCTCATTTCCCTCCTCCTCCGCCTCATCGTCATCTTCCCACTTGATACTCCCAACCTCCTACAGGTCCGTCTTCTCACGTCCTGCTCGCAGTTGTCCTCCTCCTCCTCCTCCTCCTCCTCCTCCTCCTCCTTACCGTCCGCCTAACCCTTCTTCTCCTCCCTCCTCCTCCTCCTCCTCCTCCTCCTCCTCCTCCTCCTCCCTCCCTCCCCCTCCTCCTCCTCCTCCCCCTCCACCTTCTCCTGCTCCTGCTCCTGCTCCTGCTCCTGCTCCTCCTCCTCCTCCTCCTCCTCCTCCTCCTCCTCAGTTTCATCCTGTTGTACCGCCTCTGCACCCTGCAACGATCATGATCTAAACTGACGAATAACCCATGTGCAGTTGGGGAACCGCATGTGGACTTTGCCACGGGAGTCTTCGGTGGAGCTTCTTACGGGGCCGCGAAGCGCGTGAGGGCGTGGCGAAGTGGGCGGGGAACCGCATGTGGACTTTGCCACTGGGGCTTTCGGTTCTGGGGCCGCGAAACGTGCGAGGGGTGTGCCGAATTGGACGGGGAACCGCATGTGTGCTTTGCTACTGGGGCCTTCGGGTGAGCTTCTTGCGGGGCCACGAAACGAGTGAGGGGTGTGCCAAACAGGTTGACACGCGGAGGGCACAGGCAAGGTTTGGAGGAGAGGGAGAGCGAGCAGGAAGGAGCCGCAAGGGCGCTCGGTCTTCAAAACCTCGACCCAACACCAAAAGATGAATGGGGACATTTTCCTAGCGTAGGGCCCAACGCCGGACAGCTCGCCCCTTGGCCCACCGCCAGCCCCACGCCAAGGGGCGAGCATATATACGGGCGCAGCACCGCGCTGGATGCGTAGCCTTCGGATGACCGCCCGTGCGTGGCACATGTTGCTGCTTGGTTCAGTCTGGGAAATATCCTCACAGCCCTGGCTTTAAACATCCAGCGCCATAACCTCACACCCCTCGCTTAAAACTACCAGCGAGCTGCCCTCACACCCCCCACGGTCTCAAGCTGCCAGCGAAATATCCGCACGCACCTGGCCTAACACTGTCAGCGAAACATCCTCAACCCACTGGCCTAAACCTGCCAGCGAAATACCATCACGCCCCGGCCTAACAACTGCTAGCGAAATATCCTCAACCCCGAAATTTAACCTACCAGCGAAATATCCTCAACCCCCTCGCTTAAAACTGCGAGCTCAATATCCTCACCCCCTGGCCTAACCAGCGGATATCCTCACACCCCATCGCTTACAACTGCCAGCGAAATATCCTCACACCCCTCGCTTAAAACTGCCAGCGAAATATCCTCGCCCAGTGGCCTAAAACTGCCGGCGAAATATCCTCAACCACCTGAAATATCATCACCCCCTGACCTACAACTGCCAGCGAAATATCCTCACCCCCCTGGCCTAAAACTGACAGAGAAATATCCTCACCCCCCTCGCTCAAAACTGCCAACCAAATATCCTCTAGAACTGCCAGCGAAATATCCTCAATCACCTGACTTGAAGATGCCAGCAAAATATCCTCACGCCCTTGCCTAAAAATGCCAGCGAACTACAGTGGGGGCTCGGCCACAAGAAACCTCCGCAAGAAACCCAACCCTGAAATCCGCGATTTGCTCGGTGAAAACCCCAACTTGTCGATCGAAAACCGTCAAGATCTTATTGGGGGGCCCATCGAAATCCAAGAAAACCAGGGCACCCTGGCAAAATCCAACTGGTTTCTTGGCACGCGCCCCCACTGTATCCCTAACCCCCTGACTTAAAACTGACAGCGAAATATCCTCAACCCCCTAGCCTAAAACTGCCATCGAAATATCATCACACCCCTCGCTTACGACTGTGAACGAAATATCCTCACCCCCTGGCCTAAAACTGCCAGCGAACTATCTTCAACCCTCTGACTTAAAGCTGCCAACGAAATATCCTCACCACCTGGCCTAAAACTGGCATCGAGATATCCTCAACTCAACCCTCTGACTCAAAACTGCCAGCGAAATATCCTCACCCCCTGGCCCAAAACTGCTAGCGAACTATCCTCACACCCTCTGATTTCAAACTGCAAGCGAAATATTCTCCCCCCTGGCCTAAAGCTGCCAGCGAAATATCCTCATCCCCTGACCTAAAACTGCCAGCGAACTATCCCCAACCCCCTGACTTAAAACTGTCGGCGAAATATCCTCACACACCTCGCTTACAACTGCCAGCGAAATATCCTCACACCCATCGCTTAGAACTGCCTGACCTAAAACTGCCAACGACATTTCTTCAACCCACTGGCCTTTAACTGACGCAAAACATCCTCACCCCCTGACCTCACACTGCTAGCGAAATGTCATCACCCCCCTGGCCTAAAACTGCCAGCGAAATATCCTCACACCCATCGCTTAAAACTGCCAGCGAAATATCCTCAACCACCTGGCCTGAAACAGACAGCGAAATATCCTCACCTCCCTGACTTGAAACTGCCAGCGAAATATCCTCACCGTCTGGCCTAACCAGCCAGCGAACTATCCTCGGCCCCCTGGCTTAACACTGCCAACGAAATATCCTCACCCCTGGAATTTCGCCGGCCCAACGGGCCAGAGGCGTGCTAAGATCTCCGGTAAACTAACAATATTTCTAGTTCGCGCGCGCGGAGCGGCCCCTGGGGGCCCCAAAGAGGCCACAAAGAGGTTTCAAAGAGGCCCCATAGAGCGCTCGAGGGCCGGCGGAATGAGCGAAGCGATTAAATAAAACTGCCATCTAACGGCTTTGGTGATTCAATTGTTCTGTCAAGTCTGCCAATCTACTTCCCGAAAATCAGATTCGGGCTGCGCCCGCAAACCAAATGTAGTTGTAAATAACTAGATTGTGAATACCGTCTTCGGTGGAGCTATGGGGCCGCAAATGGTCTGAAGGGTGAAACGACATGGGGGGTTGCAACTGCATGCGAACCTTGCAACGGGGGCCTTCGGTGAAAACCACTATGGGGCCACGAACCGTGTGAAGGGTGCGCCGAAATGAGGGTGAACCGCATGGGACCCTTGCCACTGGGGCCTTCTGTAGAACCCCCATATAGGGCCACGGGCCGATGCACTGAACTTGAAGGTGGAACCGAATGCGAACCCTGCCACGGAGTCCTTCGGTGGACGCGTGAGGTGTGCGCCGACATGAGGGCGAAACGGCATGCGAACCCTGCCTCTGGAGCCTTCGGTGGAACTGCAGCACTCCGCCACAAATGGGCTCCCGCCACACCCCGCAGGCCGCAGCGAGTCCTCCGAGAGGCCCGCAGATGCCCCCACTGCCGCTGGACGGTTTCCCCTGGGGCCGTAGTCTACCCGAGGAGGGGAGGGCAAGGAGGGGGAGGAGGAGGAGGAGGAGGAGGAGGAGGAGGAGGAGGAGGAGGAGGAGGAGGAGGAGGAGGAGGAGGAGGAGAGGAAAGAGGAGGAGGAGGAGGAGGAGGGGGAGGAGGAGGAGGAGGGGGAGGAGGAGGAGAGGAGGAGGAGGAGGAGGAGGAGGAGGAGGAGGAGGGGGAGGCGGAGGAGGAGGAGGAGGAGGAGGAGGAGGAGGAGGAGGAGGAGGAGGAGGGAGGAGGAGGAGGAGGAGGAGGAGGAGGAGGAGGAGCAGGAGGAGAGGAGGAGGAGGAGGAGCAGGAGGAGGAGGAGGAGGAGGAGGAGGAGAGGAGGAGGAGGAGGAGCAGGAGGAGCAGGAGGAGAAGGAGGAGGAGGAGGAGGAGGATGGGTCGCCTGAAACCTTCGGAGAAACCCTCCAACTGCCGCCCCCCTCAAGAGGCCTCCAAAGAAACCCCCAAAGGCCAAGAGACGTCTGATCCACAAACCAAGCACAGTGGCGGGAAGGGCCGACGGCCACTAATCCACCACACCCGATCGGCCGCGAGAGAGTGGGGGGGAAATGATACGAATAAGGCCTTCTCAAAGGCGGCGGGACATCTCAGAAGCCCTCGCGCCTTCTGAGAAATCGTTTGTCTTCGGGGAAGGCATAAAACATGTCTCAGAAGACCCGGGGACTTCCGAACCTTCTGAGAATGCCTTCTCCTTCTCACGTCTCCCCCTCGCTCGCCGCCGAACTACGTCCCCCGGCCCCGAAGCCTGCGGATGGGGTGTTCGAGTGTCAAGCTGACGAGCTCTCGTTGGCCCTTCAAAGAAAATCTCGGCGGCCTCTGGCGCGACCAGCCAGCCCCGCGGAAGGCAGCACAACGACACACATGACAACTCGTCTACAAGATGGCCATGACGGCTCAAGATAGCTGCCAAGACGGCCCCAGGCGACCGAAGACGGGCACAGATGGCCTCCAGAAGAGCTCCAAATGCCACGACGACGGCCCAAGATACCCAAACGTGGTCCAAGGGGCTCTCTCTAAGGGAACTATTGGGCCCCACGGGGGGCCCTCGGGCTCGGACCAAGAGGCACAAGCAGTGGAAAGGAACAAGTGTACATATACGACCACCCTCCGGGAGATAAGGAGGGGGAGAACCAACTGCTGGCAACTGCGATGGGTGTGATGATGACAATGCTGGTGGCGCGCCCTCGATGGTTCACATTATCGATGTTAACTTCGATCTCACTCGACCGATCTCACTATCGAATTCAAGTTCGATCTCTGAAGCGATCTCAATCGATCTCACAAACGCGCTCAAAATTGATCCCACTATCGATCTCACTATCGCTCTCGCAATCGGTCTCACTGTCGCTCTCGCAATCGACCGTACTATCGACCTCACTGTCGATTGCACTATCGATGCAACTATCGATTTCACTATCGATCTCACTGCCGCTCGCACGATCGACGCAACTACCGATTTCACTATCGACTTCACTATCGATCCAACTATCGACCTCACTACCGATGTCACAATATCTCGGGCGTCATCGATCTCACTATCGACATCACGATCGATCGGGACACCATAGGGACACCACGGCGGGACACCGCGGGACACCACGGGACACCACTGGGCACCACTGGGACACCGCGGGACTTCACGGGAAACAACGGGACACCACGAGACACCAGCAGGACACCCAGGTGCACCCCAAGATGGCCCAAGAGGATCCCAGGAGGCCCCCAAGAAGGCCCAAAGGGGAGAACAGAGATCTTCAC